GTGGCGAGGTATCTGCGCAGTGGAGTAGATGCGATTGAACGGGGTTTGGGCGGGAGGGAGGAGGGAAGGTGGATGAGGGTGAGGCGAGGTGGAAGTATAAAGAGGTCTTGCAACTGCTCTCAAGTTACACATCCATTGCAACAATATCGGATACTTCTCAGACTCCGGAGCATAGCCTGATATACCGATCATTCAGCAGTCGTTAAGATGAAGTTCAGTTCCGCCATCGCCCTCGCGGCCCTCACGCTGTTCAACACTGTACGCGGTGATGGTACGGTTGTCCTGTAAGACAAATCTTCCAGAAACTAACACACCTCAGCTGTACCATGGGAGCGCATCGACAAGGACAAGGCGGTGAGTCTTCTTTATACTCTCCAACCCCATATCCCTATCTAACGTCCCAATGTAGCTCCTCCTCGTTCTGGACTTACAAGTTGGCCTCTTCCAGCTAGCCAGAGACTGGGACCCAACCCTCTACAAGCAAAACATCCTGGCGCACGCCGAACTAGGCTCGGTTTTTGATATACCGGTCATTTTGAGCACGTCTGCGGACCAAGGACCCAACGGGCCTTTGCCGAAGGAGATTCTGGAGATGTATCCTGACGCACCGCTTATCCGGCGTCAGGGCGAGGTCAGGTGAGTCGTCTTTCTCATCGTTATCACTATACCTTGCGTCAACATACCACAATGCCTGCCTCTCAGCAAACACCCCTCCTAACATATCCCCAGCGCCTGGGACAACGAAGCCTTCCGCGCCGCCATCCGCGCCACAAACCGCACGCAAATCATCGTCGGCGGCATCACAACCGACGTCTGCACCACCTTCCTCGCCCTGGCCCTGCGCTCAGAAGGCTACTCCGTCTTCGCCAACGTCGAAGCCAGCGGCACCTACACGCAGCTCGTGCGCGACACGGCAAACGCGCGCATGCAGGCCGCGGGTGTGCAGCTCGTTTCTCTCTTCTCCATTGTATGCGATCTGATGCGGGATTGGCGCAATACGCCCGGTGCGAAAGAGCTGCTGCCGTACTTGGACAAGTATTTGCCGGTTTATGGGGCGGTGGCGAGGGGGCATGCGGCGGCCGTGGAGAATGGCACGGTTATTCCGGGCGAGATTGAGCTTATTACGGCGGAGAATGGGACGATTGTTTTGTAGACGGTTGTGAGGGGTGAGGCGGTTGGCGACGGGCGGGGAGGCGGAGAGTAGTGGTAGGTAGCGAGTAGGACGAGTGTACGGAGAGGCACATGATGGCTGGTGGAGGGGGCTGCGTGCAATGTCGATAGCAATGTCAACTGTGTAAGAGCGATGAAGCTACAGCACTTTGATCGAGTGGATGGTCATGACGCTTTTGGCGGGTCAACATTGATACGGCAGCTCTTGGCGAGACCAAGGGCAAGCCGACGCGAAGCCACCTCGGCATCTGCGAGGTCATCCGTCACTGTCTTCCTCAACACCAAGAGACATGACCACACACCTGAATCTGTGGAACTCACCGCCGAGTTGCCGTCGATCGCGGCATGCTTTACAATGTGAGCAACGCGGAGCCTGGCGACAACCTGCCGATACTCCCACACGCCATGCAACTGCTGCCTTCAAATCCTACAACAGGACCTTTGAGTTATGCATTCAGATAAGCACATGAGACACGAGCAGAATAAACAAGGGTACTTCGTGGGAATTTTTCAAGGTAGGAGCGACATTGCTAGTGAGAGGCCTTTGACGGGCATCCTGATCTGGTGTACATCGGTCTTGCCTGATTCACGAATGGAGTCAACTACGTCCGCAGCACAGTACTCGTTGCCTCGAGAGTATCTAAGCAGTCGTTATCTGCACCCGTGTCCTTGCACTTACCTTCGCTCCACGTATAGCTCTCTTGACACTATCACAAGACGCCCCCGATCCTTACCACGAACAGCCATCGCTATCATTCCATCCATTATTTACCTGTAAAGGCCAATCATGTCCCTCTCCAGAAACCACTCATTCCCACCGGTCAGTGTACGACATGATGCGACCGAATACATACCAGATTTGCCTCCCTCGCTCGCTGTATGGCTGATGCTACGTACCAGGAACGTCAGCAAAATCGGTTTAGCGGGATTCAACAAACGCTGCATGGTCTGCGAGCAGTTTGTGTGCAATTTCTGGACCGAAGCATGCGACCACAGAGTGAGGTGGCTCACGAAAGAAGCGGCGAAAGAAGAACTGGCAATGTTGACACCGCAGCCATATCTCCGACGACGGCTTTCAGAAGACTTCGTCGAACGATCCGTTCTTGCACAGCAGCGCCCAAGCCTCCCACTGTCAACTAAATGCCTATCACCGAACCCAGATGTATCGAGTATAAGCGCGCAGCTTGCACAACCCCAAACCTTCGTTCCTTCCCAAACCCGTAACACAACGGAAGGCATACCACCGAAATATTGCAGATGGGAAAAATCCGGTATACACACATGCGCTAGTCCCACTGGCAGCTGTAAAATCGCAGTCAAGATCCTCACGCGCGGATGTCGGCATGTCATCGGTCAAGACTGTCTCTATCGATGGATCATAGCAGGAAAGAACTGGTGCCGGTTTTGCGGTGTGGTTTGGTTCAAGGAAGAGAAGTCTAAGATCACGAGAATGGCGCTATTAAAGGAGTGTTTTCGGGGTAGGGCGGATTATGTCGAGCACTTGGGCGCCATATGTGGAAAAGAAGAGTTCCAACAACTTGCGACACAGTGTGGAACCGTGGGAGAGGGCGAGTGGAAAGGTATCCTTACTAGAGAGCTGGAGCGGATAATACTGGGGCAGTGTGGACTCCAGAAAGATGTGGACTCTATGAGAAAAGAGATACTGAGGATGGATCCGAGCTTTGTGGATACTTGGGATGAGCTGAAAGAGGACCTTGAGAAACGGTGCTGCAGCGACGCGATGGCACCTTGGACCGTCAATGAGAACTCACCGGCACCGTGGGACCCATACCAAAGTTCGAGCGCGCGCAAAGGAATCCATATTCCTCATCACAAATGTCGTTAGATTCTTTCAGCGACAGCTGCCAGTCTGAGCATTTACCGCGATACCACGTTCTCATAGAGACAATCGTTCCGTCGCTAAGACACTCAAAAATCTGACCATTTCCACTCTCATGACTCCACTTCTTCCGTGATCCTCGTTCAAGAGACATCCAACATGGAATTCAGCGATATGATATCAACCGCGGTTATACAGACCCACCATTGTGAAACAGCACATGCAGCAACCCTGATCTCTATCACTCACAAGCTTTCCGCGGCATTTCTTAGCACATGGAGATCCGTTTCGGAAGCTCAAGCCAGGCGTTTCGTGAGAAAAAGGTAATTCACAACTCCAACTGTTTGGCCTTCCGCCCCGCTGTCGCGCAAGAGTTGCTGTGTGCTTAAGTAGCGGCGCGCGGAGGGAACGCCGTGTTCGATGGTCACGGTATCTGACATGACAGCTGAGACTCTCAAACTCTAGACAAACAGCTGTACGAGCAACACAAACGCGACCGGAAGGTGAGTCGGTGTCTCGTACCACCTCACGAAACTCTCCGGTCCAGAGCCCTCCAGAGCGCTCGTGCTCCCACTTACCAAGGCCAGGAAGGACCCGCGTACTATACGATGTATTACCAGTACCTGCTCGGCGACGAGAAAAAGAAAGAATATTAATAGCTCAGCCGTGGGGAAGGACCGAGAGATGTTTATCGTCGTTCTGGCTCTAGCCTCAGGTACGACTCGGTAGGATGCCGAGGAGAGAAGGAAAAATAGATGTGCTATGGCTGGAAGAGGGTTGGTGTACTGGATGTGGACGTCCGTGTGTCGAGAGTAACGTTTCGCAGTCCGTTTTCGAGGGTGGAGCCCCCTGTCTGTGAGTGCGGTACCCGGAGTGAGGTCCGCATCATGGCAGAGGACGGAAGTTGCAAACGAGTGAAGTCATCGCTGGAGTGCGCAAGACAATCAGAAACTGAGATGAACACCATCTCTAGCATCATCCATTGAACGAAGCAAAAGTGACGATGGTCGTCTGTGGGGACGCCGCTAGTCACAACGCGGTTCCCAGCTGCGCCTCCAGCAGCCAGTGCACCAATGGCTTTTGCAATCTAACCCACACTTTCCACAAAACACTAACCTCTCATCAGCTCACCCATCTTATCTTAATGTGCTCACAGACAACCCGCCGTTCACCTACTGCACACACGAGCGCTCATCTCGGCTAAAGCTACAGCAAAAAGGCGCAGCGCAGCGCGCACCCCGGCGTGACCGCTGACTCTAGAACCCGGTCTCTGCTTCCCGCTTAGACCCCGGCGAGATGCTACTGTGCGAAACGGCCGGCTGTGGTGTGGGCGTAGCTGATACAACAGCTGCGCTGAACACAGAATGGGCAGAGGCGGGGGAGATTTTTCGCATATAGACTGGGCTGCTGCTGCGCGCATTCGGAATTTCACCTGTTCACCATTTCGAGTAATCTAATCATCAATCCCATCGACGGTTCGCTATCGCATAGCATTGCATAGCATCATCATCCTTCATAAGCACCACCAACACCACACTCCCCTACCCATCTACCACCTTATCTCCATCAGCCCATTACATCAGGCCGCCAGATTACCACCCAACTTGACGCACCAGCAATTCCACTGCTTATCATCAACCACATCGCTTACTTAGGTGTCAAGGCCCAGTCCTTGGTAGGTATGTCATCTTGGAAAAAGTACGCCCGAAAACATCACTAACGGACCGACCAGCAAGGGAATCCCAACCGCTGCGCCTCTTCCCCTCACCTTGGTACAGACGTAACATCGCGTGGCTTTGTTAACACCAAGAGAAACCTTCACTTATAATCGTGTGTCTCTCGTCTCTACGGAGAAACGACACCATAATCACCACCACACACGACCATGTTGGCCAAAATCTCTACGTCGCTCGTTGCGACTCTGCTGCTCTCATCGACTACTCTCGCCGCGCCTACACAAACACATTGTCGCTGCGAAATCGTTGCTGATATGCCGTCATCATCCGTTCCCGCTTCTGCTGCCTACACACCCTCCGCCGCACATTGGTCCCCAGCAGACCCTTCGCAAAGTCCCGTCGCAGCACTCAATGTATGCGCAAGCCTAGGATCGGAATTGCAGAAATTACAACACACAGAGCCGGAGCTGTACGACTCGTATATGGCGGGTGCTATCAAGGATGCGCCGCAGAAGCCGGTACCGACTGCGGTGCTGATGAACAGTCATGAGGAGGCACAGTCAACGTCAAGTCCGCATAGGAGAATTGTGTGTCATGCGGAATCGATATTGTCTACGCCAGAGTTCCATAGCTCGTTCATTGGCCTGTGGGCGCTGCAGATGATTGTTGTGGTTGCGATATTGGCTTGTGTTGCTGAGGGTTTGCATTTGGGCAAACAATGGTGAGACAACTTGGCTCCTCTTGACTATTCCTCATGTACTAACGGTATCTCTAGGATGAAAAACAACAGCTCTCCTGAGCCAGTATCCGAGAAGAGCAGCCTGCGCTTGACGGGTGCAGAAAGGCGTCTCCTAGCCATACCCACTGGTCCCCAAGAAGCAGATTCAGTGTTCAGCCCAGGCGCAGAGAAGAAGCTACGAGCGTACGAGACGACACGATACTTTGTCACGCAGGCATCGAGTGGACGGAGAGAGTTCATTGCGTATGACGATGATAGTGATGATGAGGCGAACAGGCCTGTGATGTAGTGTTACCCACATCACGGCTTTGATTGAATGAATGTATTATGCTCCACCTTCCACTACCTGTCCACCGTGCATGCATGTTCCAGCGATGCGAAGGCGTCGTGGTAGTGTGGTTTGGTGCTACAACATCTGTCCAAGCACACAACAGCGCCTTATCTTTCCCCGCATGTCATGGGGTTTCACCCACCACGACACTTGCGCAAACCAGCGTTGGGCCTACAACATGCCCGGCACCTCATGGTTTTACCCACGAGTACAAATGACAGTGTCTGGGATACAGAGCGCCGGTGTCTTTCACCCATCGTCCCTCCTTCCTCATTCGTCCCTGCCACCACCCCCCACCAAGGTATCGTACAACAAAGCTCGCGATGAAACATCGCATAATAAAAAGAGCAAACGCTCAACAGAACAGTAAAGCAAATGGGTATCGTGAAGCAAGAACAAGAACGCTAAAGCAAGCAGCCTACATACAAGTCACCCGAACGATGCATCGATCCAATCGTGGCAGGGTGCAAACGGTCGAGCCAGGTAGTGGGCGCAAGGATGCATGGCCGCAGTGGACGAAAGTGTCGCGATCGGGAAACACATGGAAGCATCCACTCATACCTACCTGAAAGGGAAGAAAAGTAATATACAAACAGCGGGGGTATCGCAAGGGTAAAAGAGGAATTAGTGTTGTTGCTTGGTATGGTATTGTCGCATGGAAGATTAGGTGTCGCTCGGGTTGTCGCTATGGGCATCTCGATAGATGTCATTATTAGGCGGAACTGGGTCCTGGTATGGGTCCAGATATCGGTACAAGTCATCGTGACAGGTCATCGCAGTGGGCTGATCGCAGCTGGGGGTATCGTAATGGGACAAGGTCGCAGAAGGGGATGTGGTCGCTGGCAGAGCATTCCAGATGGATGCCAGTATTAAGGGTTTGTTTATCGCAGTAGGCAATGGGATGGTCGCTAGGGTATCGCGCGGGGTATCGTAGTCGTATTATGGTAGTGTCGCGGTAGGCCAGGGGTCCACATTTCACATCACCGGGATGCTGAGAACCGAGGAGTCTAGGTGGAAGCCGTACATTAGAGTTCGTATCGAGGACAGTACTGTGGATACAGTCGTACAGGGGAGGACCAGAACATGGTCTCCAGGAATGGCGCGCTAAAAAGAAACAGGAACAGGATGTCGAACGCCGTAGAGAAATGCCGTATCCAGGAAGAGCGCTAATGTCATGTCGTAAATGTATCGTAGAAAGGACAGAATTTTGGTTGAGGGGAGCCGCGAGGTTCCGCCCCATGGTCGGTGGAGGTTGACAAGGTTGGCTCACATGATGGTGTGGTAACCCTTATCGTTCATGACGTCAATCCAGAACGCGTCTTGGCCCTCGTCAGACTGGCGCCAGGTTTCCTTGATGAGCTGGATCATCTTGCGAAGAGGCTTGTTGGGAAGCCTAAGAGCGAACTCTTGCAAGCGCCTGATGACAAACTCACGAGCGGCGACGACCTCTGCGTCATTGGCCTGCACGTCGAAGAAGTCAATCGAAGAGACGAACTTCAACTCAGAGGCACACACAACAAGCAGAAGCGGCTGGATGCAGAATGTACCAGAAGAAGAAGGCAGAGACTCGAGTGACCGGATGATGTGCATGGCAAGTGAGTTGAGCCACAGCTTTATGTCGGTAGCCTCGTAGACTGTCTCGAATCGCGGCGTAGGGAAGGCGAACTCGATGTTCTCGCTACCCTTGGTCTTGCCGGATCCCAAGCGCTTGCGTAGGATGGAGGGGAAGACACGGTAGATCTCCAGCAAGCCAGACAGACGGTAGGCCTCGGCGATGGTGACGAAGTGTTCCTTGGGAGTACGGTCATCACCTGTGTCGATGACTTGATCAACTGATGGGTAGTCAACAGCTAGGAGGTCCTCTTCCAACGAGGCGGCGTTCTGAAGGTTCTCTTGTCGTCGACGGAGGTCCATGGAGTTTTCACGGTCCATCGAACGCTCCTTGCGAACTAGACGACCAACCTCGGCGAACAGGAAGTGGATCATTGGGGCGATGCCTGTCCATGGGTGAGGGACTGTCTTGCCTTGCGGCCCACGCGCAGCAGGAGTGTTCGTCCTGGCGGTGATGCTAGGTCGTAGTCCTGACTTGGGCGAGAAGCTCATGGCATCTTCTGTTACGAAGCCCATGAGCATTTCCCAGTGGATCAAAGACTCCTCAAAGAACTGTGCCTCGCGCTCGACCTCAATGCCGCCCGACCTACTGAAAAGCTTGGGGAGGATGAGGTCTCGCGCGATAGACAAGTACTCGAGTCCGAGCGCGTTGCTGTCGTGCCATGAGGTGGTGAGACCAAGTAGCATGATGCTCAAGAAGGTCTTGGTCGCGCTTGTGTGATCCCTCTGAGCAAGTGGAAGCTCCAGCTCCAGTGCCTCGCGCGCCTTGCGCTGTAGCTCAAGGCCGGTTGCCGCCATGTTGGGGAATGTGTTGGCAAGATGTGCGGCAGCCATAGATTGGATCGCGTAGTTAATGGAAGGGCAGTCCTTGTAGATGCGGCCAATGGTAGTCCGGAAAGGGTTAAGAACAGAATCGAAAGAAGAAAAGACAGCGCATACGTCCTTGAAGTAATGCTGAACGAGCAGTGACTCGACATCATCCGGAGAGGATGGGTCTGGAGAAGGACTTGGAAGACGATACAAGTCAAGAAGCAACGAACGCGAGAGCCTAGGGCTAGACTCTCGGTTCTGTTCCCGGTCCATAACAGGCAACGAAGTGGAACTCATGTCTTGCTTCTGTGAAAGGTCTTGCATGTCGAACTGAAGGTCCTCCAGTGATCCAGAGTCGAAGTCGATGTTGTCGAATGGATCAAAGCTGAAGTCTTCGTTGGGCATTTGGATAGCGTCAGCGAATCCATCAAGCATGATGGGGTCCATGTTGTTGACATCCTCCATGGGAAAAGGCTCGTACTCGCGAGGGGAATCGCCATCCTCGGTAGAGGACTCTTGTATCGAGGCTGGTTCCTCAAAGCTTGGTGGAGATGGGACTGCTGATGAGGCCTGTGTTGTCAAGGGTTGTTGTGTGGGAGGAGAGTTCTTCCTGCCTGCAGGGAGGACGGCAGCCAACGCAGCCTCGATACCACTAGCGACGTTCTGCGGAAGGGGCGACTTCGCTGCCGGTGAAATGGTAGAGGTGGCGTCGGGTGTTGACCTGGGTCTGGGGGACGCCGACTTGGACTGGGCGGGGTTGAAGACTTCGTACTTTGTCGACCATTTCAGAGTCTTCTCGTAGCCAGGGCACGCGACGTTCCTTTTCTTGCACTGCAAGCAACCAGGAGCGGTCTCGTCACATTTGAGCTTTGTTTTTGTCAGCAAGTGGGCCAGTGCAGTAGGCGCAATCGTTGGACTTTACCCTCTTGAGTTTGCATCGACCACATCCGTTCCTGGACTTGGTCTTCTTAGCCTTCAGATCTCTCGCCAAAACCTTGTCTTGAGCCAATGTGGGCATCTTGAGTATCAGGGTTGGGTAGACTTGGTTGGAGGGGGGCGAGGTCTGGGAATGTCGAACGACAATGGGGTGAGAATCCCGGTGCGAAGTAATAGGACTTAAGATGCGGATCCAGTGAATGCGGATACGACGCTTCAAATGCGCGTGACGGGTCAGTGACACAGCCGATGGTTCCCTTCGCCTATCATTAGACCGGTGTGGGCCAAGATAGCAGCTGATAAAAACATGTCGCTGGTGTGGTTGATGCAGGGTGTCTGAGCCTGGATGCCGAGCTTCGGCCTTTCAACAACCCAGCTTTCCCCGAAGTATCCATATCGTGCATCAGCGTGCGGCTGATTGGCCAGCCACCGCAGTCGAGCGTCGCATTTTCGCTCTTTAAACCCCTCTATGGGAGGACGCCCGCTCAGCGGAAAAGTTGGACACGCGATTGATAGATTATCCGCATCGTCTGAAACTATCACCAGTGGCGGGCTCGTAAAGAAGGTTATAGCCAAAAAAGCATCATGAGGATGTTGAGAGTCTGGAGATAAGGCAGATCAACGGCTACCCCACAATCATCCAGAAGTGGGATGAAAGAAGTGGATTTGATAACTATGTATAGTTAGCGCAAGACCTTAGCGCCGCTAGTAGCATCATCTTGCTTCACGATAACCTCAGCCCAAGATAAAGCCACGTCTGCACGCATGCCCCATGACGATGTCGGAGCGTCAACCAACGCAGCGTCCAGGCCTGCTCATATCGACGCATGCACTTATCGGCATGACTATCTAGAGATCCGACTCTGAGTGACCGCCTCGAACGAAGCGACCTATCACATGAGCTTCGCAAGGTCCTCGTAACACGGTATAAGCCATGAAGACATAGGAACCGTTATCTTCTACGAGGCGGCTCTGCTTCGATCGGCAGTTACCAAAGGCGCTACTGCACTGCTTGTCGAGCGCTGCCCTTGCTAAGCAGTGCCATGCCACCGGGCCTGGTCAAGCAATTGGCTGTCGCTAGTGGCATCGAGACGAGGCACACGTCGAACTTCCGTAGAGGCTGGATGCCAACATCCTTCCAGCGCATGGCTACCCCGCAAAGTCAATACGAGAGACGTAAGAACAACAACCGTGTCACCGCTGAAATTCTGGGGTAAGAATCCGGGGCCGATGCATCCCAAAGTGCGCGATGTGTAATGCCAAGCTCAAGACCGCGACTTCACATCTGGGGAAACACTGAGCTAGGAGAAGATACGATGTCGGAGATGCACGCAGTGGGTGGACCTTTCACCGACAGGCGACAGGGCCTATCCCGACGGAAAATTCTTCACGAACACCACCACCATCGGAAAGTTCAACGGCTGCTGTTTTCCGCCACCCACACGACTCCACATTGCGAATGCGAACGACAGCACGGAATGTAATCCGAACAAAATTTCGATAGAATGCGATAAGCCTAGACTGCCACTACTGCGCGTCTACTGTACGACATCGATGAGTTTAATCGTGGTGGCTCAACCTTGACTGCTGTCAGAGAATGT